ATGACAGCGCGAAAATGGACAAAGAAAAAGGAAGTTAGGGGGCATTGAGTGTTTATAGAATAGCGCCTCCTCTCCACCAACTGCATTTAGTCTCGAGCCGCTGTTCGCTCTTAAAGGAACGTCCTGTTTATGTGAACGATGATGACCGGGCTGTTGGTATGATAACAAAAGAAGACAGCCTCCAAGACAACCGTGTGCGTTTGTGGCCGACAATGCCTGAACCAACCATACGGTGACTCTGTCTCCAAAACAGAGATAGTAGCTTATTCAATACAAAACAAGGGTATATGCTGGCTGGCAAACTGCTGCTAGGAAAATCCAATCATTTTCGTTGCAGTAATACTTAAAGGAAGAGGACATTTTAAGGAAGCCCCAAAAATGTACACATGTCAGCGCTGGAAGTGATTATGTCTGTCTCAGTTCTAAATTGTGCTTTTATGCCTGATAGCTGCCAGTTTTAATAGTGCTAAGTAGTTTCCTACTAGACGAGACTTTTGACGTTCATCGCTGCAGACTACTGCTAAGAGCCGCATATATACTATAGCGCATTAATTAATAGAGTCGCTTTTTGTTTAACAATAGAAACCTTTAAATTGAGTCTCTGTTACTGTTAAGCTTTCGCAGCATTCGGGCTAATTACGTTGAGTTGTGGTTCCATTTGGCGAACGTCTATAGAAGACTAAAGTCGTAGTTTTCCACAGATCTTTGAAATGAATCAACTGACTTGATAATTGAGCCATAGACATGAAAAAGATCTCTTCGGACCCTGCATCCGCGACGATATGCTAGTAGACTTTATAGAAGCTGAACAAAAGTACCGATATCGTTCTCGTAGACGTCACTTGAAATTCGTCTCGCGCAGTTTATAAGCAGGGAAAGTCCGCGGACCTTGTATCGACATCGAACGAAACGGATAAAGCAGACCCGTAATCTCGCACAAATCGAGCACGCTATGTTTCCGTCGCTTATTCGGCTCTTTCACACGTAGGGCTTTGGAAGTTTATCCTGCTTGGATATCCTTATGTTGACAGCTATTATTCTAGATAAACCAAGTTCGGCCATGTTCTATTACAGACCCAGACAGGGCAGATGTAAAATCTATCCTTTTGTACAATGTGTCCCGTTTTTTTCTGCAAATCTCCCTTAATACTGTACCTATCTTCGGTTGTTCCCGTGGGCTAGAGCCTTTTGAGGTTACTCCCGATGTCTTTGTAACCGTATAGCCTGAAAAATTTGTAATAAGACATCGGTTGTTTATGGAAAGCGTCATGGCGCTCGGCTTTACCTGTGCTACATTTCAAGCAATACTCCATAAGGCTTGTTTTCTTACTGTTACGAAAGGGGAAGGATTCCTTACCCAAGCAAATTGTGCGTATACAACAGAATTGTTTGGAAATTCGCTGTATCCTTTTGTCTCTCCTTTTTAGGCTCTTATCCTGGCTCGTATGGCACATGAATGGAAACGACGACGAGTGTGTGGTACTGTTTTAGCTTGCATATTTCTCTTATAGGTGAAACTTTTTTCGTATGTGCAGGACATGCGTAATGTTCCAGCTGTCTCTATAAAACATCTGTGCTAACGAAGACGCCTATTTACATAATTTAGCTATTCAAAATACTCTGTACATCGCTCGCCCTTTAGTTGTCACTAAACCTAAAATTTCCAATAATTTTAGTGCCATACTAAAACTAGCACTATAGAAAATAGCACGGATTTTCTGGCAGTGTATCATTTCTCTCTTGTTTGGAGAAAATAACTTCGCTTCGCCTGGTCGAAAATAGTCATCCTAGCTGAATAGGGAAACAGTAAGAACAATCGAATATAAACAAAACGTTGAATCTGTCTGTAATCATAGCATGCCAGTCTCGACACAAATTTCTGTTCTGTAACGGTGTCGTTCGTGGTGTCAGAAGATACCCGGAAGAAGATGAAGGTATAACCAATGTCGCTTGTACTTCTCCTGCCGACAGATATTTTTTTGGCTTATTTCTCTGTTAGTTCTATTTCGTTCGGGGGCTGTCATGTTTTTGCTGAGCCCTTGTTGTCTGGCGAACAGCTCGCAAACGTACTGCCTTTTTTGGAAGACGTGCTTGCAAGAAATTAGCTTACCCAGGATGGAGGATCAGATACCCTGTCCCACAGTACTCGTCGCATGATACGACAAGCTTGACGAACACAAAGGGGCTCACCGTTCTGTCAACAGCGGGTGGGCTGATGCGAGAGTTCACTAAATGGCGTGATGCCAAGCCCAGAATTATTAGGGGTAAAGCTGACGTATCGAAAACAGCCTGGACAACTTTGAATGAGAAGTTCGACTGTCCATTATTGACGCTAATACCTTATTTTTTCCTCTACATGGTATGATGTGAGCGGTTAACAGTGCTTGAATTGCTTAGAAAACGATAATCTAGCCTGTTATCATTTCTTCACACAAACTCGTGAGCATAATACCTCTTATGTATAACACAGGGTATGCTAGATTAAAACGGAATCGTTTGAAACCAAGTTATTTCACAAGCGAATACCGGAAAAGCTTGTGGGCGTTACTCTAAATGCGAACGGGTCAAAAATAAAAGGCATTGTATTATGAAGCTATTGTGGCGCTCCAACTTCCTTCGGAGCAACATGGTCACGGATCAAAGATGCATCACATTCATTATTGACCTAAATGGTATATATACGCAACGCTTGAACCAACGACCCTCCAGGGCTAAGCCTTCGGCTTTATACATCTGCTTACCATTTACTTGCAGTACTTTCTGTGTAGAAATAAATATATGGGCCAGCAGCACTGACCATTCTGGTAGCATCTCGATGCTGACTGAACTACCGCGACGTATCCGTATATACCTAAAGTGATTTCAAACAGTACCATCCGGTATATGCATCTCATCTGAAGGTTTAGAGGCCTTCGGACAGACGAAAGCCGTCGAAGTTAATAATGTCCATAATACATTTAGGTAATGAAAACTTGCTTGCGCAAATATAGATGCTCAAGTTAATTTGTAGTACATTAAGCCCTGCATGCAGCGGTATGTTCGAATCAAATAACGAGTCTATAACTAATCGGGACCATTAAGTCCTGAATTGACAGCAGTAAACGCGAATCTATCCCGCAATAGACGATCCTATATCCGCAGGCACAACTGGAAATATCACACACAGGGCATGGCGGTCTAAATGCGTCACGCTAATTCCCAAGATGCTTTAAGCCGCCTAAGCCAATGTTACCCTTTAAAAAAGACTTAATACGGGGTACAATAGTTCAACATCCTTTAACCGGCCGAACTTTCAATTGCTCCATTTCCGTACACAGGCGAGTCAATAACGACAGCGGACACAGAATATATCTGCATCTGCCCTAATATGTCCTGAGCCGCTTTTAGCAAATACGCTGTGGCATTTTGCCCATCTACTTGGGCGTGATCGCATTTACCAATCATTTACGGGAGCACGATTCTTATGAGCATTAGAGTAAGAGCTTGCTATAGCACGCTAACTAGACTACTTTAATTTTTATCTTCAAAGACGCACCACTAGCAGGTAACTTAAATCAACTACAGTTAAAGACTCGTGGCTATATATATATATATATATATATATATATATATATATATATATATCCTAATTCTTAAATATGAAGACTATCTAGTATCGAACGGAAGAGCTATTAATCAATAGCGATTTGAAGTATGGGTCAATGACATTTGGAAAATAACGGTACTGGAAAAAACGAAAGAGCATATAACCTACGCATGCTCTTTATCCTATTAGATCAGATATTCGGGTCTGTTAAATATATCTATTCTTTGCTGCACCGTTTGCATCCGTTACCGAGATAGTATTCATAGCCCAATCAGTAAGTGCGCCTAACATACCAGCGGAAGACACAGATGGGCATCCTAGTTATCGCTTAATCATTGTAGATCGAAAGGGAGACGAAGTTGCTATTTTTACGTGTACAAATGTCGAACAGTTGAATACTAACGAAACGTTGAGATAGACGGTACCGAGTACCGAAGGCTGGGTCATGAAAACTCAATCAAAAATGATCCTGGTCAACTAATGCCCTAAGGTTATTTTGGAGACTAGTACACTAATTATCGATGAGGCTTACTTTCTATATATCAAAGGATTCCTCAGCGCCTACCGGGCTTATTAAAATCAATTTAATTAAGCCTTACCTTGTCTGAACAAGACACTCCCTAAGATTTTTTCATTTTCAGTGATAGTACGCTGTATAAAACTCGCTTCGTTTGAATGGCTGGTACGCTAGCTTTGGAAAATAGTGGTTTAGTCCTTTGATTAGCAAACAACGCCGCAATGCGACTACTCCAATCTTGCAGAAGGCGTAACAAGATGGTCATGTGCGACATTCACTCACTTTAGTGTCCTATATAATGAAGGCTATTGTTTCGTCCTTTCTAAAGATGATGACGTCCCTTAATGTGTTATGATAGCTTAAGTGGCGACAGGAGCTCTTGCTGCTCTCAGAGGACAACCTGAGCCCTCGGTGTTGCAGGATCTCTCTGACAGACGAAAAGAACCGAAGCTCGAAGTCGAGATAATTTTATATACTGACATTCGACCTCTATCTAGCTGCAATATGTCGACAAGTTTCCATGCTTGGCGCTATTTTTCTCATTCGACTATCAATGTAGAGGAAATATAGTGGCAGGGTGGTCGAATAATTACTCAAATGGTCCCTCCCTGGCAACCCCCGCGCTCGGTCTGTTCCGTCTGAAGACTGCACCGGTAGCTGTACACGGAGGAAGTCCCATATGGAAGAACTTTCAAAGCCAAAATTAACAAAGTGATCTCTAAGTTTAATGAGTTATACGGCCTGTCACGCATATTTGTACGTTATATTTAGCGATATGAACCCAGCTAGTAGCTTTGATGTTCATGTCGTCAACGTGAACCGGTATCTTCACAAAGGCTCTCCATGCTTAAACACAGATACAAGACACAATATTTATATAACACTCATAGTATTTATCTTTATTATTCCTTTCTTCACACCAGCAGATTGTGTATGGACAGGAATAACGCAGAGCTGAGTGTCAACCGGAAATTTGGAGCCGATGAATCAAGACCCGACCAAAGCGCAGATTCCAGCAGCTCGCTCAGATCAACATAATCGTTTCCATCGTCAGACAGGGGTGACTCTGGGAAAGGAATCAAATGGAATAATTTACAAAACTGTTACGTATATGATCATGTCGTTCCACGCAGTTGCTTGTTCGCGGTCCTTGTGGTACGGACAAAATTTATTTTTACTAGCTTTTTGTTCTAATCTGCCTTGTTTTTCAACATACATGTATGTCCTGAATATAAATGATCAATTTTCTAGAAATAGAATGTGGATCCTAGAATAGCAACAGGAGAAGGATTGACATATATTTTGAGTCCACATTTCACATGCTTATCGCTGTCCGAGGCTGTTCAAGGTTGCATTAGTGCACAAATAAATGACACGGTACCATTTGGTGGACCGAGAGCTATCTAGAAGGCCGAACACCTTTTTCGACAGGGTCAGACCGCATGAAAGAGAACAACGATATTTTATTATATCTGAGGTAGAGTCTCCATTGCTGTCCAGACGACCACATCTGCGCCCAAGGACGTTCTGAGCAATTATGCATTTGAGACGATCGACGGTGCGCCGTTTACCGCCATCTTTAAAAGATGGATGCAATCGAAATCGTTTGGCCGAATCCCGGGAAAATGAAAAGCCATCGCTCGATTCTGTCCTTAATCTATTGTGTGTCTATCATTATATTATGCGTCCTTTATACTGGCAGGCCAGTACAGATCGAAGCTCTAAATTGTGGTTGGTTTTCGCTAGTTTTTGCCGCGGTGTTGCGGGTCAGCCTGATGTTGGAAGAACTTGACATCCGGAACAAATTGGCCTAATAAATAGCTCAGTAAGCCTCATCAAGTGGTAGCACATAAAGTTCTGTCTCCATTCGAACTCGTTTGCTTACTCGCAGAAAATTAACTACAAGATATATGCTAATATACTAGATTAGGAAAAACTGATTGTCATTACAGTATATTTTGATAAAAAGTTCTACTGTTCGGCGAACTCACCATGATAAATCCGTATACTTCGCTGAAAAGTGGGGTTCGCTGGGGAACCGTCGTGCTTCTGCAAATCGGATCTGTCTTCAATAGCTCCACGGAGACGACTAAACACGATTTCACAAATGAAAGTTCGACTAATACCCATTTCGAGAACTTTCAAGTCTCCGGCCCGAAGTGATACGCTTTTTTCTATAAGAAATGGCGCACGCTCGAAAAAGGGCCTAGTTGTATCCGGCTTATTGAAGTTGTAGTTGTCATGTCCCGGTGATTCGCCCGAAGTGTGCATTGTTGAGTTGAGTCGTAGTCGTTCTCCGAGTTCGCTGTCCCACCGATCATGGTCTTGTCGAAAAATGGCCATCGTTACAGAGGTCGAATCTTCACCTGTCACTAGAGCCGCGCACTGAAGCTCTCGGGAGGACATATTCAGTCGTATTTCGAAGTCTGATGGTGGATCTGAAAGTATCCTACGTGTTAATAGGTGACTATCGCGTACTGCTAGTGTGGTGAACTGCACAATTTGGCTCCATTGCGGCACATGCTAAAGAGCATTTATATTTTTCAGGCCGACGACAGTTGTTGACAGAAAATGTGAACGGCAGAGATCCGTGGAACAGCCATCTTGTATGTAGCAAATCGCATTCAATGATTGGCACTTACCGTAAACTAGAATCTCGTGAGAGGCAATCTGCTCCAGGTACTCGCCAGCGGGACTGTCTTCTTTTTTATTTTCGACTACATTACAAGTAAAGTTTCCCGAAAGTTCCCGAACTGGTCGGGTTACCCGTATCGCTCGAAACATCTCCATTGGTCGATTGTTATGTTTGTAACCTACATCCAAGAAATCTATAAATAGCACATGAGTGAGTGCTCATTAATAGTATCGTATTATTCGGCGCACTTTTGTCATAAAAAATTAGCCCCTATTAAGTCCTGCGTATTATTATAAAACATTTTTGTGGTATAGCCATATTTATTTCACCGTAATCCTCTTTTGAAACCGGTACCCTAATTTATATAATTTCCAACAACGTCAAGTATTCCGATAATGAATAGGTGCAAAAAGTATATATTTTTTACCGATTATTTTTGAAAAATCATGCATTTGAAGGGACTAAACGCAAATTGAGACACAGCAACAAATTTCAGATGACAAGTGAAACTGTACCCACCCCAGTACGCATGATGGAAGAGTTGAGAGCCGATTTCAGGTATCCATTGGTAAAAAGGTACGCCCTCACCATTTCGAAACCACTTCACCACGACCGGCGGCTGTAGTTCGAACCGCCGTAATCCCTCGTGTTTCATCCTTGTCGAATTAGTATCATTATTTGCCATGGATGTTAAGTTTTTGTGAGATGATGATGTTCCTTTAGTTTCTGTGGAATTCACGTTCTTAACGATCGAACTATCGTTCGCGATATCAGGCAGGACGTGGTAGTCACAGTCGAATATAACTGAGGATCTGGGGTGGGCAAATTTACCTTGGAATGATTTTATTGCTAGAGGCAAGCCAGGTTCTGAGAGTCGATGGCCCTTGGCATCTAAGACGGTCACGCCGCGAAGGACTATTCGGCTACCTGATGATCGTAAAACGAAGTGGATTATCGGCTAGTACTATTGCTAAGTCAAAGATATAGCCAGTCATCGACAGTGAAATAAAGATTCCAATTCGCTATAGACTGGCGGAAAGCGGATACAATGCCTGGTTCACGAGTAACAGTACAAAATTTGTATCTCAGCCGAAACTGAACAAGTCTCGTAAATCATTTGGACTCTTAAGCAGCTGCGTTCAACTTCGCGGGCGCTATTTATTTTCGATGGTTCTCACGAGAATTCCCGCAATATATTCAGCAACGGCTAGAACGCCGGAAGATCTCAACAAAAGTACAAATTTTTTATTTGTTTAGTTTAAACATTAAGAATTGCACTAGGGGAGGATTCACTGTCGTCTGCTAAATCAACTTTTATTTGTTTGTAATAAGGCCCTATTACAAAAAAGAAGCTGGAAAGAGTTCTTCACCTCCTGTTCAATGACCATTATCACCAATATGCACGTTCGTCTTAGGCTTATAGCAAAATCTCTTGCCCAAATTGCTTTAATAGCGAATAACCTCAAGAAAACAAGATGCCATTAAGGAGACTTATATCTATCAGCCATTAGTTTGATAACAGTTCGCATCATGGCTTGATAAATGAGGTATAAAATTTATGCCGTTCCTTCAAACATACTCTAGGAACGGGAACATATGAAATGGCGAAGAGGTAACTTTTAATCGGCAACATGCCACCTTCCAACTCAACAGAAATAGTTCACGCAGTGGTAGATTCCCAACGTTGAATCTATATACACGTGTAGTTTCTCGGTCTCTTCGTTGCTACTGCACATGTATATATATACATATACATCAAAAGAAATATACATCAAATAAAATCAGGATTACGGCCAAAACCAATGGCATAGCAAAATTTCGTCCTGACTTTCTCTATCACGTCTTACAGGGACATACTTTCTTCCACTGCCTCCTTTGCACTACACGCGGCTTACACTACTTTTTCGAACGAGCCAATCTGGTCGTGATCAGTACATATGTTGTTTTTCTGCTTGCGGACAACGGGTGGTACGCTGTTACTATGAACAATTGGATCCCCAAACCTAGATCGGTTAACCTCGACGTCTTCGAAAAGCATCCCACGTCCATGTCTAACCATGCTCAAACATACCGAGCTTTATGACAAATGGATCTGAACGTCCTTCTCCCTTACGAGAATGCCGCTTGCAGAGAAACAGCGAACCCATCCCGACCGCTTCATGCTTAGCAAAAACGTTTGCAAACCCTACATCATAACAAAGGCCCATTCAGCGATAAATCCCAGACGAACAGGTAGGCTTTCCTACATGAGAGTGGCGGCCACCATTCGGCGATGCATCGGCCCACATACAATATGAGTGGTAGTAATCCAATCACCCCTTTCCGCCCCCATATACATCCATCTCTCATTTCTTTTGCCTTTTGTCGTCGCCCTTCTCTGCTTCTCTCGCCTGCTTTGTTCTTTTTTAGTAGAACGATGAGATCCATAGTTCTTCTGAACTAAAAAAAAATAATTAAAGAATCTCAAATTAAAGGTGAATTCGTTGCATTATGTGATATATAGTACACATCGGTACCATATGAATTGGGTACACATATATTTGTGTGCACATAAATAAAATATGCATGTATATTTTAGGACGACAGGACTAATGGTTGTTGTTGTAGCTCTTGCAGCCTTACGGGAGAGAGATCATCGCTGTTCATGATGGTTATGATAAAGCTATGAGAAAGCGTTGAGACACCTTGAAAATGTCTTTTCCCGAAATAGCAATTTGTATGTGGGGCGAACTAGTTGGCCCATTGAGTTCTAAACAATGCTCGACAAATGTCATTGAATGCCCAGTTTTGTATCTATAGGGGGGTAATAAGCCTGCTTGAGAACTGCCATGAGCAAATAACGGTCCGAATGCACCTCCTGAGCTTACAGCGCACGAAATCGTACGAGCAACACAAAAACGCGCTTAAAAAATACAATTTACCTTATTAGAAAACCTTAAAAGCGTCGTGCGCATTAATTAGACGCAATTAGTTGTTATAAGTGATACGGAGTCGTATTTTCGATTTCGAAGAACTTTGATTGAACTTGTTCTACGTGATAGTTACATTTCAAGATTGGGGTATGTCAAAAATAACTTTCAATACATTTCTAAAATGTACTTCACAAATGGAGAAGCTGGTCCTTGTTTATTTAAGCATGTGATCTTCACGTGTCAATATGGTAACTTAAGCTGGAATTGAAAGACAAATCCGATCATTTCAAAAAGAACGCTTCTGGCAATTTTTTTGCTTTATTTTTTGCTCTAGACAAACACCTTTCGAGTTGTAAGATATACTTTATAATAAACGAAAGAATGACATCAGGCTCAAAAGAAGCGCTTTTTATTATATAATAGGGGCTGTTTAAAGTCCAACAAGCACGCTTATGGGCGTTGCTTCTATGTTTTTCTTGTCTCCTTTGTTCCAACTCAGACACATCTAATCGATATTATAGATATATACCTACCTACCTACCTACCTATCTAATAATGTCTAGGAAAAGTGCGCCGAAATTTTTCATCAAAGCCTTACCGAACCTTGCCGAGCTCAGGGACTTTTCAAATATCCTGTAGTACTATTAGCGTAAACTAGAAAAAGGACATTAATCGCTATTAGATCTCTCAACGACCATATTAGAAGCCTCGGATAATAATGGTTCCAATATTTGAAAAACTACAGTTTCTAACATACTCTCAGAGAGATTGCAACGTGTATTTAAGTTGACTGATACAAGGTATTAGGATTTTTACGCTATAGACTTCTAATCCTATATGAGAATGCGTCATTAACAGCAATACCCTATGTGGCCCCATCCTCGTCGTTTCTAGCCTTACAGAGCAATAAACAGTCGTGCAAAAGGTATATATTTCTACAATAAAAGGCATTTAGGTCAAACATAGAGGCCAAGACGCCTCGGAGTTTCATCCAGAGTTCTGATAAGAGCCCACAGAACAATGTTGCATTTTATCCGCCGTTCCTGAAAGGAGCTGATTGCCGTGACGCTTCCTAAGGCATATTTTAGAGTATCTATTTGAAATTCTGCGTGTGTACAGCTATATAAAGAAGTGGATCCTCTGTCAGACTGTGGACCGTCACTGTTACGCTAGATACGAACGTGGTATCAACTGAAAGTTGAAGGTTCAACTTTTTCTTCGCATCGTTTGAAAACTATGTACTTTTTTTTTTGCATTTCGAATAATAAAGCCGATTTGTGATGAGCTAAAATATGTCTGTAGCGTAGATATCCGATGTAAAACAACAAGTATATGACAACTGCACAAGCGGATCACATTCGAAGTACCATTATGATAGTGTCACAGCTACGGTACACTTTTAAGTGCCGAAATTAGTTCGAAACGATGATTAATTGCTTATGGCTTTTGTCCAAGAATAGCAATGCCAGCAAAAGTGATCACTGCCATGCCCACTGGGGCTACACGAAGTGCCGGCTGGTAATGAGGAAAACAGACCTTTCAGTTATCTAGATATTAACAGGTAGTAACAGATCTTGTAGATGTCGCAGGGCTCTCCGGAACCAAATTCACTTAATTAGTATCCGCAAAGGCCTCGCCTCACATCTATCGGTATTTAGTGTGAACGGACTAATGCTCTAACCGGAGACGCGCATGGTTAAGGCTCCAGTGTGGGACAGAATAAATACAATGCGCATTTCGACGCAATGGAAAGGATAACACAATTCAGTGACGCCTAGTTTTGCATATTTTTCTTTAGCAGAAAGGGCGATTTTCTCGCACATAAATTACCGTTGCTAGGGGCAAATGCTTTCTTAGTTCTAATCTTTTACTGTGTAATCTCTACTCTGTCCGGTTCTGGCCACTTATTAGCATCTAAGTACGCAAAGTTAAGTTAACTTACAAACAGTGGATCCATACGAGAAGGGTTCTGGAAGTGGGAAAAAGGCACTCGTTAACGAACGAATCAATGATGAGTACCCTGCACTCTGCATGGCAGGGGTATCTTAGGGTAAGAAAGCACTGGCAGCAGCTTGCATGAATGGTGGTTCTGTCTAGATGTATAACGCAGAGCTTCTTGTACCCTTGTTGTCTCACCTTGTGAAAGCCCGATGGCTGTATAGTGTACAAGCAGAAGAAAAATAGACGTGAACGTCGACTGGCTGTGCGTACCCATGTTGACTTTTCATATCGGCCTAAATTACAGAGAAATTTTACAGCATGCGCTCGACGACTCCTCGTTAACAATCAAATATGATGGATATCATCTGGCTAAAAAAATATTGTTCGTTGACGATTGGTACTGAATCTGCTGTTGAAGACCAGTTGCTTTTGGCTTCACATAACGCCGTATTCCACTCACTTTATACAACTACACTTCCGTATGCACGCTCCATCGCGTTGTTGTGCGAGTCCGTTGGCCTCATTCCACTTTAGAACATTTCCGACTATACATTGTGTGAATGAGAATTGAAACTTTCAGTGGATCCTCTAGAAGTTAACTGCTCAGAAAAAACAGACTTCTCCCACCGCAGATCACACTAACCTATGCGGTAGTCTGAAGATGCAGAGCGTACGCGTTCGCTAGTTCCTGCTCGTCTTGATAACGGTAAGGGGAAAGGGCTAGCGGTGAGGGCCTCAAAAGGAAAGGGAAACTGGTTCGAGGTCATCACGTGTCGACTTTTCAAATCCGATGTGGATTTTGCATAGACCATCTGACGTTCAAAGCTATGTATTTGGTGCTACTAATATTCGATAGTATGAGTTCTCGCGTAACATATTCGATGACCCATCGCACCATTTTATTAAACAATCAACAAAACGTCGCATTTCAAAGACGAGATGAATCAGGAAAGCTTATTGGACGATGACGACGATCAGACGAAAAGTAGCCTTAAAGACAGGTTCTTCTACCAGACATTCACATCCATTCACACACAATCAACGTGTCTGTAGAACAGTATAAATAATAAATATGCATGTATTTACGAAGGAAACTACATTGCAATCAAGGGCAAATGCTCGGTTAAATTTGATTTATTTAATTGTAGTTAGTTGTGAGTTGCCCACGTCATCATTTTAGTTCCTGGCAGTATGAAGGCCAATAGTTAAACGCTAGCAGTCTTCATGCGTTGGTGTGATAACCTTTTAAATGATCGTCTTTGCTTCAGTTGACTACACCTAAAGGGACTTCGAAGGTACATCCTATGTTGAGAAGTAATCGGCACCTGTTGTTTTTGGGGCTACATGGGCGGAGTACCTCTGTAACGAATGCGTGGAAAGCTCTAGCGAGCCACGTTGGTTCCACTGTGGTTTCGAGGGCTACGACCATTTGCTACGGCGTCAGCAGATTCCAGTCAGGGAAAGTATCGGTTTGGGTCGTTGATTTGCCTGTCTCACCTTTTTGCACCAACAGTGTGCTGTTTGCCCCCCAACCCCCCGACCCGTTAGTCGTTGTCGCGGTTACACCCAGTTGGCCGACGTTCTCGTAACATCTGCCTTCGACTCTGCATCAAAGCGCTGACGCCACACAACGGTACGGTGGTCCGTACTTAATGACCTTTCCTTTTTCGCTCAGTCCGATCGACTCTTCATGGTCTGTCTACTAGATGCATTTCTCTGACCGTTTGTTCCGTTGTTCAGCCTGCTTCGTGCACTCTGGCAAAATGCTCTTGAGTGGCAAATTCAGGCCATTATTACACTCGTGATAGGGCATATGCATAGACGGAACTTGCTTCTCAGTTCAAAACTAAGCTGTCTGGTTCATATTCAGTTTAAATGAATGCTAGATGGAGGCTAAATTGTATCAGACGCATTCCTAATTTCGGCTTAGAGCGAACAAATGTATGTTACCTTTTTCAAGCGATTTCCACCTTTCAGCAAGTTTATTGTTTACTTAATTATGTAATTGTCTTTTTTTTTTAGGTACTAGGATACATATGACGAAAAAACGAATATAATGCCAGTATCAGCTCTTCAAAATATAGTACCTTGTGCTATTGTTTGGGAAGTAGTTTGAATATGTAGGCCTACGTTTTTGTCCTATGTAGTTGCACATAAGTGATTGACCCGAGCTGACTCTATCAGGTTTTGTATGGGTTTGATACTATTTTTCAAATTTATTAAATAGAGTTCTAGAAATTTATACTATCTATCTATATTTAGTATTCATTTGTCGGCATTAGTAATCGTTTCATATACACAAAAGCCGCCTTATAAATGTACAAAAGCGGCAGAGATTTTCTATCGTCAAACTGCATCAATTGATGCAGGCATAGCACTTCGAATAATTTTTGAAGCTCACTTTTTGAAGACTGATGAGAAGTTGTGTCCAGAAGTATCTGTAGCCTTCGTTTAGATTTGTCTACATCATAGATAAATATCCATATTCCATTCGCAATTACCCTGCTATGCAAGGATTAAATACTCGTATATATATGTATTGAAGTCTCCTGAAAAAGGGTAATCAAATCAATTTTTCTTAGGCATATGTGGTCGACCAGCAGTAGAGAAGGCGCTATACTGTCAACATGGATTTTGTGAAGCTAATGCTTGGCCCATTGCTTAATAATTATGGAAGCAGACATATATAGAATCTAACACCTAACTCATCCTCCTTGTTTCACTTAAGTTGAACATCATGTAGTTAACTTCTCTTGTATTAATAGCCGAAATCGGTGATGCCGGTAAACAACGACTGGTTTTTAATATGGCTTCAAATGGAGCGAAATTTACAGATTCTATTCATGCGCTTTAAGAAAAGGGTATTTTAGAATTGAGCCGTAGGGATTCATGATTTGACCGAGAGCTAGTCTCATTTAGGTCTTCTACAGGCTGTATGATAATGTTATCTAACAATGTAGATACCATTTAGTGATTTTCTTAGAAACGTTCTTATTATTGTTTGAGCTTGCTCAAGAAGGGGTCCGACCATTATTACCATTGTGATAGTTGTATCTCGATTCAGCTCATTGGCTCAAGGACAGAAGATTTTGCTACTATCAGTTAAGGATCTACCACCATTTTAGTGGACATCGAAAAGTAATATCGAAGCTAAAATATGCTCTGATTTTTTCAGTATTTGTACAGGTGTCGTAGTAAACGAGGGGGTAAAGCAACAAGTAATTTATTGTGTGATGATAGATGTTTCTGTAGCAATATGATTATTATCATGCGTGCCGCAAAAGAACAAATGCAGTGGCAGGCTCCTTTTGGATTATTATTAAGAGGGGTGAAATGCAGAAGTTATTATCGAAATGGGGAATCATTCAAAGGAAGTCTTTCAGTATCGATACGCTTGCCCAGAGCCAAATGGCTATCGCATTATACAACACCTTATGATATTTTGCACGCATGTATGTATGTATATTACGTTAAAGATTTTACGGTACGCTCTGGTTTTAGATTAGATGACCCGCCGCCTTTACATATGCGCCTAAACGTGTACCTGATCGGACTGCTCGCACGTAGTTCGTTAGTACCTTTTTAAACTCCACGCAAGTGTTTCCTTTTCCTTTTTCAGGTTTATGTCGTGCCTCAACAAATGGGACAGGACTGACGCGTCACGTTGACGATTTTTAGTCGAACAACAAGTGAAGCAGCTCGCACACGAGACAGCTCCATCGGTCGTAGAAAAACAACGTGGCGAAGATTGTGAACAAATGCTTAATGACAATTCACGACCCAACGATGCATTGTCTGCATCGCTCCTCATTCAAAATTTGTACTACCCTGTTCAAAAGCCGTTTCAGCTCCACGCCGTTGTCTTGCTGCGATTACGGTTACATAAGTTATGGCAATGGCCGTTTTCAACAAACAGCAGCACGACCCCCGTGCAGAATATGCATAACTTCATTGTCCTTGTAGCCGATATCATCGCGCTGAATCCACGCGCGACGCTCGCACCGCGTGGTCCCGCGATAGTCTTGTATACTAAATAGAAATGGTCCCCGTCCTGTTTTCCTTTGAAGTTATCTTGTGTGGCTCGTCTGGATCGCTTAACACTTAACTAAGCTATACCAGCGGTACCCATTCAACCCGCAAAGTCTTTACCTGCCGCATGAAGCGGGCTGATTGTGACCCCCGCTGGAATTCTTATGGTGATCGATTTAATTACGGCGGCATTACGGCACTGCTATTGAATAGCGAACAGCTGTGGGTTTATGTGGTATAACTGTGGCAGCGTCGTGATCGCAGCTGTCATTGGTACGTACGCAGAGGACGCTAACCAACTACTTGTGGTACTAGATAAAGTTGCAAATTATTAGTGCCTGGACGAATCTTCCAGCGACTTCATGATGTTGGCCGAAAAGAGCGCTGAAAAGGGAGCAGCGAATGGTAAACCGAGCCAGAAGCAAAAGGACTTCGTGAATGACAAACTACTAATATGACCTCAGTGATACAACGGCTCATGCATCGAAAATGCAAGGTAAGCACTTTTTCTTACTTACAAATCATGACCCTATTTATTATGTCCTGACGATCGATAGGGCTTATTGAGACGAACTTATTCTACGTCACAAATGATTCGATCCACATTATTTTTTTCTGTTTGAGCCGTTTTTTAAAACAGACAGGCATTGATGTGGCACCCAAAATGCAAGCAAGTCCATGGATCAATGTATAACTAATCCGCACGATAAGCTCAAAGCATTATCTCGACGCATTATCCAGGGATATCTTCCAGACCTTGTGTTATTTGCGTTACGTTTTACGGTAATAATTTTGTGAGCGTCCTATGCCGACGCTCTCTTCTTTCGTTAGCCTTTTGCATTGTCCTAGTGTTCTAAATTGACGAGATTAATCTGCCTACTATTTGTTTATTTTATCAAACAAATTCGACCGTACTCGACCAGGTTCTTTACCAGGTTCCGTTTTTAACTACCGTCCACCGCCCTCGTGCTTCGGAACAATACGACTGCTTACTCGGTAGGACATATTCCAATCTATTACTCGTTTTTTGTGTCGATCGTGAAACAAAGCTCGCTTTGGCCCGTCCTGGGCGTAGTTTCGTTATTTTCCTGGTCCTCAGAAGTAACGCAGCCATTTCCCTTTGGCTGAGTATTCTTTGACCGAGAGAAATCATGGGGGGTGACTTGCGAGATTTGTAGGGGAAGAACCAGAGCAAAAGGTATGAACGAGCCCAAGCAAAAATGCCCAAATGAGTTCATTTCTTTTCCTTGTCCTGAATGGCGAGTACCGTCCATCGAAGAGGACACCAACACGAGGAAAACGAAGACGTTAATTTCGATGGAACACTGCCATTAGTTTAGGAGAAGTATTATTCTATTAGCATGAATATTATCATTATTATTTGTAGTAATAGTAGTACTAGAAGGACGTAGAAAGGTAAAAGGCGTACACTAAGTGACTAGAAGTACAGGCGCACGCGCACAGATGAGTCAGCAAGTATTTGCCGTTTGACAAAAATATTTAATGTTGAGGAGTCGAAAAGGCTGATATTAAAAGGGAAAAGTCGGTGAGAATAAAGCAACTAACTTCTAAAGTGATCAGGAGCAGTAATATGGATTCTAGATCTTT